TCTCTGCAGTGAGGCACTGCACTCCCAGCTTCCCAGGGATCCTCTCCAGCTTCCTGGGGATTCTCTCCAGCTTCCTGGGAATCCTCTCCAGCTTCCCAAGCTCACCACCACACTCCCCCTCAGTAGTCAGTGTCCTACTTAGCTGAGTTACAGTCTCCAGCTCCTCTGGGAGCATTCCTGGTTTTCAGTCTGTCACCTCTGCCCACCACCCATCACAAGCATCATGTGGGGCCTATCATTTAATTTCTTTTTCATTATCTTCACACTGGTTCTTCCAAGAACTTCAGGTTACTGCAGTCCTGTCTTTCTGAGCCGTGTCATTTTCTGCCTGTGCTTTGCAGAATTTCCCCTCTCCGTTTGTTTCTTGGTTTTGCTGGAACATTTTACTCTGCTGATAAAGGACCTGGAGTCTCACAAATTGTAGCAGTTCATGCCTTGCTGCTTCTGATGTGTGTCCAGCTCAGTTCTAATTGCAGAATCTCACAGTTTCCTCTCCTTGGCATCCTTTGGAGCAGCATAGACCTGGATCACAGTGGAGTTAAAAGCCTGTCTTCCCGAACAAGTCATGATGATAATTAAGTTGCCTGGGTTGTAGCCAAGTGGTGCTTTTCTGTCCCTATCACTTAGGATTGTGCCAATTCCTCTTTTATGCTTTATTTTGTCATGTGAGAAAATGATCTTGCTATCTGCTGTCTCTCCCTTGCCTGGCCACCTGGCTTTTAAGAGGCCTTCTATGTCATGTTGCTACCTTTGTAATTCATTCATTAGCAAGGATATTTCACCAGGGTGCCAACCCGGTCCTACATTCCAGGTTCTGTTAGAAATAGAGAGGGGAGGTGATTTTTACCTCTTAGACATGCTGATAATAAAATACTACATATAGTTCTGGCATCCACACTTTAAAAAGGTTGCAGGAGAATTTAACTGGATCAGAAAAGTTACAAAAAGTCATTTGAGGGCTGTAGGAGATATGTTCCAAGGAAATGTATAGGGAGCTGAAGGTGTTTAGCATATCAAAAGGGAGATCAAGAAGGGGTATGATTATGGTATCTGAGTACTTTCACTAGAAGAAAATACAGGGCACTAAAAGCTTTTTCAACCTGGTAAAGAAAGGCATATAAAGAACCAAAGGCCAGATGCATTGAAATTAAAAATAAATCAGAAATGTATTTCTAAGAGTTTGGGCGATTAACACACTGAATGCACAGTTTCAGAGAAGTGGTGGATTCCCCCTTGGATCTTCACATTTTCCCTCTTGGATGCTGGACCCTGTTTCTGCAGCAACTTCTCTGTGGTGCTGAGGCACATGGGCTTGAGGCACTTGTGTGGCTTTTCTCCCTTTGGATCTCTCAGGGTCTGAAAACCCAGACCCACCCGGTGCTGGCAACTTCCACCAGCAGAGCTGGTATGGGGGGATCTGCCTCCCTGCCTCTTCCCAAAGGATCAGCCAGGACAATCATGCCAGGGCCCCCACCCACTGCTTCCAGTGCTGACACAGGTATGGACTCTGCAGCGTGCTCCACAGCGTGGAGCATCAGAGTAGTACAAAACACCCAATCTGCCCTAAAAACTGCAATTCTCTGAAACGTGATTTATAGCCGGCTCGAAAATCTGTCTATGGAGTTAATGGCTATTTTGGCCATAATTTTTCATGCTGACCTCTTCACAGGGGGAGAACTTTTTCTTCCAGCAACAGCGTGTAAATAGTAATTTAATAAGAAATTGAATTCTCAAAAATGACTATTATCTCCTGCTTTCAGTGTGACAGCTGCCGGTCATGTGCAGCTCACGGCCTTTTCAAAATGGCTGTAATTTTTCATGGTCCTCAGTTTCAGAATGCAAGACAGAAAAAAACCAAACAACTTCCCACCATGATGCTCGTCTGCACCACTTTCTGGTAACATTCAAGTTCATCTTCATCCTCAAAGTGTCTTTTGCTCTCCGTGGAAACAGTTGTAGGTGACAACTGTTGGTTAAGAGAACATCTTAACAGATGTAAAAGTCAGGGTTGCCAAAGCTTTAAAGCTTGGAATACCTGTGTGTACTCTCAGTAAAACGTAGAGGGCCAGTGTCAACTTGAACTTTCCAAAGCTATGTATCTTTAGAAGTACTTTGTTAACTTAGTGCTTGTTAGCAAATCTAATCCAGAAAGGAGTTTTGTGGGTTTGCTGCTGGTGTTTGTAGAGGTTATTCTAGGACAGGGTTAGTGCCTGAATAAAACCAGGGTCCCTTCAGTATTTTGGTCCCATGCAAAGATCTGGTGAGGGCAGTGTTAAAACGATTAAAAACAATTTAATTTATTTATTTTTTTACAGGGAAATTCGGTCTGAGAGAGAAAAGTAGAGCTGTTGGTTGTTCATGCTGTTTCTGGTGTGTTGGTGTTTTTGTTTTTTCACACAAAACTCAAGTGATGGAAAAAACTAAATTGGGACGTCTTATCTTTTTGACTGAAGTGCCTCTGGTGAGGAAAGTCCTCCAGCCTCAGCACCTTCTGCCAAGTTAGAGCCATGGGAGTTGGATCTCCTGGTGCCAGAGGAGGGGACCTGGTGCAGAATGAGAAGTGTGCCTTCACCCCAGCCAGCTCTTAACCAAGACTTCCACGGAGCCCAGGGGTGACACTCCTTCATGGAACAACCCCAGGTTTTGGTCACATTATCTGAGGGCACTTCAGAGGATGTGCTTCTTGTGAAATGGCAAAGGCTTTCACTGGGAGAAGTTTGCAGATGACTCTCTACCCTTTGTATGATTTTAGGAAATAAGGAGCTGGTGACAGGCTGTTCCCGGAGATCTGTCAGGCAGACAATAGAGACAAATGCCTCAGGTAACCTCTCCTGGTCATGATGCTATTAGGAATATTTGACAGCTGTAGGAAAGGTGCACAGGTAAAATCCAATTTTCAGACGCTTCTTACAGCCTAAATGAAAAGCATCACAGGCTACTTATGTTGCAAAAATTGCTGTAACTTCAAGGAACTTGGAGCTTGTCACCCTGATGTAAAATGTGTAATTTCGCAGTCATTGCAGTTTTCTGATGCAGATGGGGTTGTTTGTTTCTTGTTCCAGCTTTTGTTGCCAGTTTTTGAGTGAGAGTGGATTGTTTCTGCATTACTTGTGTCCTAATAACTTTTTGATTATTTTACTAACTTTAGGAGAGTTTAGAGAAGTTCTTTCAATGACTAGTGGTTAAAATCACAATAGTGTTGAAGAGGTATTTTAGGGTTATCTGCTTCAAAATAAACTATCAAAGAATATTTAACACCAGAGGCATCTTAACCTGCTCCAACTTTGAATGGTTGGATGCAATATTTCTTAAGGAGAGTTTTATACTCCTCACTGCAGTCTGAATAAATATTTGACAGACTATGTACCTGTACAAAATTTGTATCAGCCTGCACTGATGGCAACAACTTCAGTCTTTCCATACTGTTGATTTAATATCTCACCCCTTATCAGCCAAAGACTTCCAAATAAAGGTAAACATTCAGGTCAGAATGCTGTGTCCATCCAATATTTTTTTCATTGTAAAATAATTGAAGCTTCCTACTGTATGAGCTTTGCAGGAGTTTAATTTTGACAGCTGCACAACAGGCAGCATTAAAAAACAACAACAACAAAAGAAATTTTTCCTGTAGCAAATCTAATCTGCATGTGATAGCACAGTGCCCATTTTATGAGGCCACATTTATTCTCGTAATTGGCTATTTCCTGTCCTTAAATGCCTATTTATTCATGCCTGCCACCTTTTTCTCAGTTTATTAGCCCTGCAGTCACCACATTATCTTTCTCTTCAAAATCAATTGACATTTTATGAAAAGAGTTTGCTAGATATTTATTTTAGTGAGAGTGGCATATAGAACATGTGCTTGTCACATTAAATAATCCCTGTTAAAAGTGGAGTATGCACTGTCTTAACTATATACCTAGAATATACCAATTTACTTTTTTTCATTGTTGTTTATATTCAGAGTAATGGATTGGGAAGACATTACTGGGGTTGGTATGAGTAGATGTATTCCAAACAGTGCTTTTTCCTAGAGATTCCTGTGCAGTGCAAACTGGCATTTGACACAGGTGTTGAATTTCCAGACGTGCTATTCCAGAGCCATTCCAGAGCTGCAATCCAGGGAAGTCGAAACTTGTGAAATATACATATTAAAATATTAAAACGCCTGTGCATGGGCTAATTACTAAATCTAAGCAATTATTATTTTAATTAAAAGCTTATGGCCAGCTCCTTGTTAGCAGTGATACTGCTTTTCCCCCCCACCATGCTCCACCTTTCTATTTTTAAGGACATTTCAAAGCTCCTTCAGCCTCCTGGCACGCTCTTCATTAGCTCAGAGCAGGGAGCAGCCATGGTTTTCAGGAAGGGTGGACTAGCTTCAGCCACTCTGCTCAGTTATAAGCAGTCCCTGCTAGTTACAACGTGAGACACCTTATTATACAAGAGGGCTGTGGCATCAAGTTTGATCCTGGTGCCTGCATGAAGCTGGGACCCTGAGCCAAGTGCGAGAGAGCGGAGCCTCCTGGGTGGTGCTGAAGCCGTGTTTCCCTCTGCTCAGTCGTGTTAACTCCATCACAATTGAGTCCACACAGATTTAGGTTCTTTTAAGAGAGGATTTTTCCTGTTGCTAGACAAACGGTACCAGAAACGTTGGCTTAAAAATTTAAGCTTTGTGTTTTTGCAAGAGGCGTCACAATTTACTGGGCTTTTAAAACTCTTCCTGACAGTGTTCGAGTAAGGCTTATTAGCTAACCTTGCTTCCAGTGTCTGTGTGCTCTTCTTAATATTTGCTGCTGAAATGCATAACGTTGTAGCTTTAAAAAGCAGCAAACGATCAAGCAGGCAGCACAGGTGGAAGCTGAAGAGGGAAATTCCTCCAGAAGCTGGGAAGGAATTCCAACTGCTTTATTTTTCTCTCCAGCTGAATGCAAGTGAACCGATGGGCTGGTGTTTGATGTGAAGAAAACCACATGCTGATGGAGAATGTTTGTTTCTAGGTGCCAGGTTGACCTGTCAACCCTGAGCAAAGAACAAACCCACAAGCTGGAGCTGCCGCTGGAGGAGGGAGAGGGGTTGCTGGTGTTGCTGGTCACTCTCACAGCCTCAGCTGCAGTTACTATCTCTGACCTCTCCGTCAACTCCCTGGAGGACCAGAAGGAGCGAGAGGAGATACTGAAGAGATATGTATGGAGTTCTTCTCTTTTACCCTTTGTTTAGAGCTGAATAATAACTATCAGGGGAAAAACATCTAAATATATCCCTTATAGCCTTATCACACTCAGCCAATGACAGTCATTTAAACTCGATATTAGTATTACTGCCGCAGATATGGGTAGCATCAAGAAGGCTACAAATACACTACAGAGTGTTTTTCTGTAGTAAATCAGCTATCATGTGCCATGAAGAAGTTAATTTTCCTGCTTTGCAGACACTTGTTACTAAGCACAAAATAACCAGGGGGTCTGTCAGTGACTGCACAGTTTCTAGTGAGTGTTTATGCCAAATGGTTTGAGGTGCCACGAGTTTTCAGCTTCTTTTTGGGCACCTACTAAGGGGCAGGAAAACTTAATTTTCTTGTTTGCACTGGAGCAGTATTGTGTCTCACCAAAATAATAGTTTTAAACAATATTTCCATTTCAAAATATTACGAAGCAAATTATTTTCATTTCCCAGCATCCTCACAGTAACAAAATCTGTGTAGTTTTAGCAAAGCAACAGAGAGGGGAGCTCTTACTCCAGGATTTGCTAATACCTAAATCAGTAAAAGTAACTGTTACTACACACAGAGAAAGAAGGAGAAAAAAAAAAGCTATTTCCACTTAAAATTACAAAGCTTTTATTGTACAATGCTGCCAGGTGTTTAGAAAGGCTTCTCTAGACACTCAGCCATTAAACCAAGCTCTGACTAACAAAGAGCCGCTTAATTTTTTTTAGATTTTAAAATATTCCTATTCCATGACTGACATCCTTTCAATAACTGAATTTAATAAAGATGTACCTTATCAGGCTGTGCAGATAACATGAAGTGCTAGTACTAATGCTGTACAATATTCTTCAAACAGATTAGCAGGATGTGCGCTTCAGCAAATTTATTCTGGCTATCTCCCCTGGATCAGCTGTCTGCTAATGCTTGTACAACTCATACACCAATAGTGTTATCATAAACACAGTTTAATAGAGGTGACTTAGTGAGGCTAACCATAATATTCCTAAACCAACTGAGAGCTAAGGTATTGTGCACCAGCTTTGAAAAATAATTACAATTAAAGAGAGTTGTTGCACATTTTGGAATCCACCAGGAGAGTCCGTGGATGGCAGAGGAGATCTTTGTAAATATAATAAATTCCCCAGGGATACGTTTTTGAGGTGACATACTCCTTGCTACCAAGTGCAACAACAATGCTGTGTTTCTGTGGATTATTTTGTGTGATGATATGGCAGTCATGTGATAGTGATGGTTTTGATAATTTAGCAGCAGTATAGAAATAATGTTATGACTGTGTATTATCAGTCAGTTTTCCAAAATTTTCAATTTATTTGTCCCCACTGTAAAACATAATAATGTGGTGTACGAACCATCTGTTTATTTTCCTTTCTTACATATTCATGATGTGTATCTTTCCTTACATTTACATTATTGTAAACATACAATACATTTGAAAAATTTCTGGAAGATATTTTTACTGCAGAGGCATGATTTTCCCCTTGTCTGTTTTTGAGAATTAAGGCATCACTATGTCTTTTTTATATATTTTGGGTTTTTTTTATTAAAATGACCGGTGCACAGCAGAAGAAAGATGTTGCAAAGAGTAACGAAATTCAAATCGTTTCTTCTCACTGGTGTTTGATTCATCCTAGGTGTTCACCTCTCCCCTTCAGAACCGATACACAGGCAGTGTGTGCAGTCAGCAAGATATTTCGGGGTTTGTTTTTTGTCATCTTAAAAAAAAAATCCTCCTTCCATTTGAGAAATGTATTTTGCACCCTTCCTGCAACCAAAAACAGTTAATGAGCTGACCTTGCCATCAGATCAAATAGCCTTGGAAAATGACTCTATTACTGTCATTTAACCATTTGTAGCTGAACATCAGAGCTTTACAAATTAAACAGGCATTACTGTTTGAACCATTATTTTACCACAATTGTCTGAAAAGATTAATTCCTTTTGGGGAAGGGGGGGGTTTTTTGGGGGTGGGTGGGTGGGAGGGAGGTGGGGTGCACATTAATGGGTACAGACCAAGAGAGATTGTATGACCTTTTCAGAACTGGTGTGCTGAACCCACGGTCCCCCTTGTCACAGTTTAAAAACCAGAGGAGCTAGTTTAGAGAAGAAGTTGTTAGCATTCCGTTTTTATTATGACATTTCACAGTCATCCGATTTAATGTCCCTTGACCAGATTGTCCACCGTGAGACGATGGGCTTGAAATGTTATTTAGAGCATTGATAAAAGGTGAGCAGCTCTAAGATGACAGCGAGTCATAAGGCTGGTGGTATGACATTAATTTTCTCCATAACAGAGATGGAATAAGACGTCATGGTGACAAGCTGTCAATCAGTACTGGCCCCTCAGTGTATCTCGATGCCATGGGATGGGGTATTGCTTCTCCCATAATAGAGCTGAACTGAGATGCTCTCCCTGACAGCTGCTGCAGCCATACAGAAAATATATTATACAGCCTTTCATTAAAAAAATAAAGAGGACTCATCTCCAGAGCATTTCAATCTTTTCCCATCTATTGAGGGCTGAAAAGATTCACAGCAAATCACGGATTCCTCTGCTATGGAAATTTCAGGCTTCAGAAACCATACAGGATTTGAGGCCTTCAACAATAATCATAAATAAGAAGACAGAATATCATCTGATAAATCATTACTTAAAGTTATGTATTTAAAGTAATGTATTAAAGTAATTTGCTTCTCCCAGAGTCTCTGCTGTGGCACTGTATGCGTTTTCAGCAGCCTCCACAGTCACAATGTGCAGTAAATGAATCTAAGCCAGCTGTCTTGCTGGAACTGCAAGTTCAAAAATAATTATTCCATGGGATGTTGACAAAGGTAAGAAAGTGAAATAAAGCACTGTTGCTTTTCTGCAGGATGAGCTTACCAGGGTGAAATTAGGAAAAAGGGGTCTGCAGGGTGCTGCAGGAAGGGGAGCTTGCTCCATGCTCCATGCTTTGTTTTTGCCTTGTTTTCTTCCAGAATCTTAGTGTTTCTTTCATTGAGAAACACTTCTGTAAATCCTTCCACTTTCTCCGTGCTATTGGGGCAGCATTATCTCCATTGTGGTACCTCTTCTGATAAGCAGCCTCCATGTGGTTGATGGTTATTGTAATAAATGAGGGCTGGTGCCAACGTGGGTTCGAATTATAACGGTGCTACCATCTCTGCCACCCTCAACTTGTCAGCCTGTGAGCAGGGGCTGGAGTCTGTGCTGATTAATGTTGACCACCCGTATTTTTAAGCTGTATTTCTGATGATTAATGTATTAAGAATGATTAAAAAATATATATATATTTAGCCACTATGCATTTGTTTGTGTGTGTGTGTGGCATGAGGGGTGCCACAGGTAAGGGGGTTCCTCCCTTCCACACTGAACTCAGACCTGCACTGTGAACAGTGAATGGTCAACTGGGGCTTGTGAAATTAACATCAGAGTGTGATTTGACTGTTAAGAGTTGTCTTATTAATAAAAGGACAGGCATGCATGCTATATATCCAGCATTTTAATGGGCAGGTTATCTGTGTGTAAACACAATGAAGTTTTCACAAACTGACATTTAATGTTTCATTCCAGCAGCACCTGTGTTTTTCAGATCGCTGATGTTATTTATTCTGCCTCTCCCTAACAGTCAATTCTGCCTTCTTAACAGATTAAAGGGTTGTTGACTTCATGTTTTACCTGATTGTTTGCATATTCTAGAAACCTAGACATTATCATAAGCAGTGGAAAAGGCTTCAGCTGCACTACATTAAAATTTTAGAAAAGGCCAGAGGCATTTAATGCATTAGTCCTGATTTTAAAATACTTCAGAATAAAGGTGCATGCCAGTATTTATGAACAAGACCTGCAAAAAACCACCATATATATATATTTGATTTAAAATTGATGAGGAAATATAATTTTAGTCTCCTCTTTTAGTGTTTGTCCCCTAGGTTACATAAAACTAAATGATAATACCAGGCTAGTTACTAATTGATTGCAGATTCAAAGTTGCATTCGATGTTCTAGCATTTGAAATTGTCTAACTTTTAAATTATATTCACACTTAAAGCTTGAGAATTTTGACATATAACACCTAACTATTACAATGCTTACTCTTAGTTATTTGAAAAAAGAGCAGCAAGCCAACACACTTTCAGAGCATCTTTTTAAAACTGTGTTGGGTGAATAAATGCAAGTGTTAGTCTACCGTTTAATTTTTTCTTCCTCTTTTTAATGTGTGTAGATGTTGCAGAAATTTGTGTTTAAAAAAATGATTTATAGTAAGATCTTTCTGCCATGAAATTGGAACCATCTTTTAATTAAATTTTTGTATCTTTTTTTGCATATTATTATTATGAAAATTACTGAGTTTTTATAATTATCTTTTGATTGGTTTTGCTTGTGTTATTTGCAAGCTATTTGGAAGCTTACATATACATTCATGCTGCATATGCAAGCTTGCAAGTAATGGTCAGCTACAACAGACACAATATTGGCCCTAAGTCACTCTTCAAAATATTACAGCCTTAAAAGGGAAAATATGGACATAGAGCTCACTAAAAGGAGAGTGGTTTATTGTTTGTATTAATTTTGTTAGTAGTAGTAATGTAGTAGTAGTTTGTAGTAATTTTGTTTGATATAACTTAAAATGTTGATGGAAGTAGTTCATGTAATATTGGGGGTTTAATTCAGTAAAACTAGCCTTATTTTTCCTTTACATTTTTCACTGGCAAGTTGAAGTTGTAAAATACTGAAAGAAACACCGACAACTTTACATCTTTCAGAAAACAATAATCACAAGTATGAGCACGTTAGACAGAATTGCACTGATAACCTGGGCAGGGGAGGACACTATTAATACTGCTTTTGGTATCTCCCTCTCTTTTTTTTTTTTTTAAATCTAGAATTATTTTTCTTTCTGTCATTTTTCAGAGCCCACTGGCGCTGTTTGGTAACATGAACGACGTGGGATTCCTGCAGGTGAAGGTCATCAGGGCAGAAGCATTGATGGCAGCTGATGTCACAGGCAAGGATCCATTTAGATTCTCTGACAGAAAAATATCCTAGTAGGACCAGGCCAGGGAAAAGGTGCTTAAAACAGAACTTGATCAAAACATTATTGTCAGTTTGCACAGTCCCACCTTCTGCTCATTAAAGAAAAAATCCTCAGAACAAACAAGCAAAAATTTTGTAAGTGAGGCAGTAAGTCATTCTATTGCTAGCAGAGCCCTGCTTAGGTTATTCCTCAGAAGGGTGAAATAAAACCTTTTCCTCCATCAGAGGTCCTGGAAAAAAATATATAGAAAAGACATCTTTTTTTAGAAAACACAAATATACAAGCTATCCAAATTAAAGCTGAATTCCAGAGGACATGGCAGATAAAAGCTGTTAGACTTAGATATTACTGTACAGTTTTTTTCCATAAGGAAGCATTTGGTATCTTCCAGATACTTAGCAAAGCTGCTGTTGGTTTCAGAAATCTGAAATAAATGCAGGCTCGTGTCCCTACAGCTCATCTGCTTAAGAAGGGACATATAAAAATAATTTATATTTTCTATTTTAAGAAGTATTAAGTGGAATTTAACCTTTTTAATTTAACCTTTTGCTTTTCAAAGTGAAGAAAAAGTATTTCAGCCATATTGACCATATTTCTCCAGAAGTCTCCAGGTTATCTCTCCTGTAGTTCCAATCACCTTCACACTGCACCAGCTGAATGGAGCAAAATGAGCTTGCACTGTGTCAGAAAAGAACCATCACTGCTTTAAAAAAAAAAAAAATAAAAGGGAAAAAAAGAAGGAAACTATATTAATTGCAATTTGGACATAAATATCCTGTTACAGGAGAAGATGTAGTCATATAGCAAAATACTCATTTTTAATATTATTTTGTAAATTAGCTTGAATTCCAGGGTTTGTTTTTTGGTTTTGTTCTTGTTTTTGTTTTTTGCTCAGGCAAGTAAACGTTTTATTGCTGAAACTGATCATCCAGCTTGTGGCACACAAAATAGCAGATTCTATTTTCAGGGAGGCTGGAGAAATGCTTCTAAAGATTCTTCACTCTGCTTTGACCTTATAATCCAATGTGGTCCGAACAGAGAGAGAGAGATTAAGTTATTCAGGGGCAAATGGAATAATTCAGTCCCTGACCTCGTTCAGTCTTCAACTTTTCCAGATCAACATGCCATTTGTGCTGGTTGAACAAATTTTTGGGAATACGTTTGATTCAATTAAAGATGGACAGGGCTGCCAAAAATTTTCAGACATTGCATTTAGAGGGACGAGCAGGAAGAGGGGGCAGAACACTCAGAACCTTCCTGTGCCCCATGTATTTTGTTAATTAGCAAGAAAAAGCATCTGTACAGCAGATATGGTTTGTAAGATGGCTGTGCATTCCAGACACTGCAGAAATTGTTGTATATGTTGGGCAAAAAAAATACCTGGTATTTCAAAAACAGGACAGAGAGGGTTTTTATTGGCTGCTGTAGTAATTGAGGGCTGTTTTTAGTAACTTGTGAGCAAGTGTGGATCGTTACTTTCAAGTTAAACCTTGAATAGTAGGAGTGAGAAATAAATCAAAGTAGTTACTTGATGATTGTCAATAAACTGTGTTTGCAAAAATGGTGTAAAACTTGACCCTCCACCTTTACACAACTCAGGAGTCAGTGTGGAGAGTGCTGTCATCACTGGTGTAACTTACACGATGCAGGATTCCTTGTGTGAGTAAAAGCTAAGGACTGGTTTGCTCTTCTGACAATACAGTTTTTTCAGAGTTAATCTTTTGCCCCCTGAGCCAGAAAAGCAGCTGAAGCACCTGTATGGTTCCTGTGTGGTTTGCTGTGTTTCCTGTCTGCTGGACATATCCCATTTCACTTTCAGGAATCTTTTCATGTGAAGTAATAAATCAAAATTTATTAGTTGGAGCTGAATGGGTTTTAAGAATCCTTAATATTCCATCATTAAGCATAAGCAGAGAGGGAAAAAAGATTTCTGTAATCTTTTAAGTAGTCATCAATCTCACTACAGTTGCAAGGATTTTTTTCTTCCCCCCTCCCCTTTTCCAAATGTGAAATTTTTCTTTTGTTACCACACATTCATTGAGCACCATTGTGATACTGTATTAGCTCTGTGTGAATAAAGAGCAATTGAAACTCCCGTTGAATGAATGAGTAAAAAGCACAAATTACTTTTTAATGAAACCCTCAATTCTTCTCCTTTCCACAGAAAGCCCATAGCCTTGTTCAGCTGAATGCTACTACAGTGGGTCACTTCAGTTAAGCCCCTAATAAACTGTTGGTAGTCAAGGGCAGATTTTTTTCCAGTCTCAATGGACAGGGTCCTTAGATAATTAAGGTTAGTGCAGATTTTTTTAAAAAAAACAAACAGGGAGATTAAAGGATGTTGGTTTGGCCTTGGTCTATGCCCCTGACATGTACATGAGCATGGAAGAAGATGCCAAGGTGGACTGGAATTTTGGTGAAGTTGTGGGCAGGGGAGCAGGTGGGCAATACCAGTTTGAAATGGGCTGCTCAAACATGCCCTAACTGGGTTTGAAAAATACCCCAGAAAAGGAGAAAGTGAGGCTTCTCCCCACTCAGCCCACTTGAAAGCAAGTCCAAGAAAGGGAGGATGGATGACGGGTTGAAAGATTCCCCACTGGGGCTTGAAAGCTCACGTTGATTTCAGGCAGAGCTGAAAAATAAGGCATCTTAATGGACCAGGGCCTTTGAGAGAACTGTCAGGTCTATGAGGAGGTCTTCCAGGATAAAAAAGTTATTTCCTGTGAGGGTGGGGAGAGCCTGGCCCAGGTTGCCCAGGGAAGCTGTGGCTGCCCCATCCCTGGGGGTGTTGAAGGGCAGGCTGGATGGGGCTTGGAGCAGCGTGGGCTGGTGGGAGGTGTCCCTGCCCATGCAGGGGGTTGGATCTGGATGATCTTTGAGGTCCCTTCCAACCCAAACCATTCTATGATTTTATGATCCTATGATCTTTCTGTGGTCAAAACATATTTTTAGGACTTCTACTAGTTGAAAATTACATAGGGTTGGGAGTTGTGGTCACAGCAAATGCTCCTTCCTGGAAAACAAACCTTTTGAAATATGTTTTTCTTCAACTATAATCTAAGAAATGGAACGACACTGAGTGTCGCATTTACTTTTTGCTTACTGAGAAGAGAGTTTAATTTAAATCTTCTGTTGTGTCTTAGCTATTCAGTACAAGGGTATTTCCTCCCTAAATCCTCGGCTAGAAGAGATGTTTTCCCATTTCCCCACATCTTGTGGTGCCTCTGGAAGGCAGGCATACCTTCTGGAGGGCTCTGCTGCCTGCAGACCCTGGCACAGCAGCGTGTGCCATGTCCTTTTGCATGAGGAAATACTCTGCTGGTACAGGAGAAGGTCGGGGGGATTTCCCCCTGCCAGTTTGCCTCTGAAATGAATAGTTTCTCTGCTCACCTGACCCATGTGAGTTTTGGGAAGCTCACCATGGGTGTCGTGCCTTGTTTAGGCAGTGGCCAGGGAATGGGATCCCTTCTGCAGTGAGGTCAGGTCCAGGTGGGTGATGGTGGGAGGATGCTGGCGGTGCAAGCAGAGCTCGCATCACCTTTCTGGGGCATTTTTTTTGCCCTTCTGCAGCAAAATAAAACTCAAAAACTCTGCTGTGGTCGACAAGCAAGCAGGGTGGGAGAAGCACACGCCGCGGGCTTGATCACCTTCTGCCAGTGTCCTGTTATTTCCAGCAGGAGTAGTTAGCAACTCAGGTTCGTTAGCCGAGCAAAACCCACGCTTGGCGCGGCGGCCTGCCTGCAAAAAACAGTTTGTTTTGCTGTCTTTGGGCTTTAATTAAGACGTGTTCAATTCCAGGCCCCTGGCTCCCCTCTCCCCCTGCCCCCACCCAGCTCGCTGTGTCACAGACCGGCGATCAGACGCTTTCAGATGGTCCAGCCCATGACTTTGACCTTCTGCGTGGTCCGGCGTTCCCTGGGGAACCGTTCAGCTCATGAGGTCTGATTTCACACTTCCAGGATGCCTCGGCTCTCTTAACAATGACAGGGAGACAAAGCCCTTTAGAGCGGGCCGCATGGGGACTTGTTTAAATTGGAAACTAGAGAGGAGTCAAGGAACAAGGTTACAGGCTACAGAATAGTGCTTTTAATAAAGAGCTCACAGCTCTGGTGCAGCTCAAAGAGGGCTACCTCTGTACAATTAATTGAGACATTTATCTGGAGCATCTCGGGCCTCTACTTTCTCACAGAATTATGTGATAAATATCAGCTAAGAGGCAAATGAGATGTGCATGAAATGAATTTTTAACACTTTGATTACTGTGTCTCCAGTCTTCATTAGAAGTAAATTTATTTGTATTTCTGACCTCCTTATTAATCAGTTGTCTGCAGGGGAGGGTAGGGGGGGTTTGGGTACCACGATTTCAGAACTTGGTGAATCAGACAGATTTGGCTGAAGAGCTCAGTGGTATTTAGGTTTACAGCCAAAAGCTTTTCAGGCTTCTCTGAAGAACAGAAACTAAGCATAGAAAAACGAGGTAGAATTTTATTTTATTTCTTCTTCCTCTTTTTTAGTTTCATGTTTGGAATTCAGTCTCCCTTCTAAAAAAAAAATTCTATGTTAAAATTTTGATTAGAGCCCTGGAAAATAGGATGGAAATACCTAGGTGGCTAAATGTGCAGAATGTAAATCACTTTTCTAAAATCCATTCTACTAAAATGTCCTAATACCACATGTGCAAAAATGGTCTTTGAAATTGTTCTTCAAATGCTAGGAAATGTCAGAGTGATGTACACAAACGCTAAATTCACAAAGGTATGGAAGCCCATGCATGTAAAATTGAAGGAATAAATTCCGAGGCCCTTTGGAAATATGGTTCCAAAAGTAATTTGCTCTGTCAATTAGTGCAACCAGATTTCAATATACACTTGAATTATCTTCACAAAGTACAGAAATCTACTAGAGGGGCAGTGTTCTATGGTAGATAAAAATCTTGCCCTGCCCTGTCTTTATAGGTTACCTGGAGGCAT